TAGTTAAATGTGATTCAAGCCATTTTAGGAGTCCTGACTCAATTCCATTTTTTTTTGCAATTTAAAAAGTAGCATTGGTATGTCCTTGCGGTCAAATGCCTTGCTAAAGTCTGTATAGAGAGCTTCTACGTGGTTTCCATTATCCATTGCATTCAATGAATAGACTATAAATTCATGCATTCGAGGCATCAACCGAGTAAAGGGCTTTGAAAATAGCGTCATGGCTGGAGATAAGCTGCTGCAGACGAATGTTGTTGTTCAGTAACTGGTCGATGTTCTGCTGCTACGGAGGAGTTTGATCGAGTTCGAAAACGCTTCGGAAGAAATCAGCGCAATACAAATAACCGGTGCGTTGAAGTTAAAATGCAATCAAAAGGCCTTAAAGTAATTAATGTGTTTTGAAGTAGTACTGACGGTAATTAAAATTATCTATCCGTAATTAATGGAATTAAAAGTATTGAAAATGTAATGAATGTACTTCAATTACGAAATTTCAACTGTAATTAATGGAGTTAACAAGTAGTTAATGTTTTACATTGTGCAATTTATGTAATTAAAGCAGCAGTCAATGGAATTAATTTAATTACAGCCGTTGCCTGCATTGGAGTTTAAGGTTATTGCGTGCCCCTAGCATAAAACAACATCAGGCAAACTTGAATGTTTGAGCAATTCCCTACGAATCCGCAAATCGGTTTATTTTTGTATTTTTTTTATTTGGTTGAAAGTTTGCGGAAACGTTCCTTATGACCTATAATGCTATTTTGCATCTTCATAGCCCAATTTTGAACACAGCCTTATTTTTGAAAAGGGAAAATAGAAAAAATATAATGCCTATCTTAAGAAATTATTCACTCGAAAACTGTTTGCCCGATCGGTTTGGTGTTTTGAACAGTATTTAAAAAACATGCACTCTAAAAAAAAAATCACCAACTTTTTTTGAATTTCAAATAATTTCTTAATTTATTTTTCTTAAAAAAAAGATTTTCTGTATTTATTTTTATTTGTTGATATGTTTTAGGGGACAAAAATGCCATCTATTGCTTTATAGGTCAAGATGGAGAAATGATGGAAAAAAGGTTTGATTTTTTAAAACCTCAAGTTCTTGGAAAAATATTCAAAACTTGGACCATTTACTGTTTCGACTTTATATAATGAAAGTACACCAAATTTACAATAAAAAAGCACCCTGCTAAGTCACACCGTTTTTGAGATGTAGTGGTTTGAAAGTAGATGTTTATAATTTTTCAATGAAAATGCTTTTGGTGGCTCATCGATATTATCTAAAATAACCGGAATGTGTAATATCATCAATTTTCTTCACATTATTAAAGTTTGAAAAGTGTCTGACTTCTATTTGTCTTTCAGAAATAGGAATATATGAGTGGTATTTTTGAGTTCCTTCAATTATTAAAGCTCTTGAGTATTGTTCGTTGAACTCCTGCTTATGAGTTTCATATTCTTCAGTAGTTGCATAACAAAAGAAAATTTGAGCCAGTTGATTATCGTTTCGCTTCTGAGCCCAATCGTATAGTCCTCTTGCATTTTTTTATCGGATGTTCATGTTTTCTAGCTAGACAAACTTTGGTAGCCATGCGTTTCAGTGTTCCTCCTATTGAAGAATCAAAGTGACCATTGACTCACAGATGGCGAGTCGGTGAAAATGGTAATGACGTTTTAATATTTGTCAAATTGCATGACATTTTTTTTAGTATATCATCATTTTTGTAATTGCGAATATTGTAACTAGTTGTCGCATAACCAGTTTTGGCGTTGCTTTGATTCGCCAATAGCCTGGTACGCAGCTGAAAAGAAATTGGAAAAATAATTTTTGAGGAATATTCCCAAAATTAAATTTGAAAGCTATAGGGAGGTGTCTTTTGCTAAATTTTGAGAACGTCGGGGGGTTTCGTATAATTTTAAAATAAAAAATATCAGTTTTTATGTTGTTTAAATGCATCCAAAACACCATTTTTACAACAAACGTTAAAATTACCTAATGGAATAATTGATCAGACCATTATTCCGCAATGAAAGCGAAATTGCATTCAGAATGCGCCACCTTCATGTCAATCACGATACTGATGTAATCGATTTTTCCTTTTCCGATTTCTTTTGAACTGCGTACTGGGTCAAGAAATGCTAAGGAAAAGTAATTTCTTTAGCATTCCTTGTCCTATCCCGTAGCACGTAAAAACGTCATTATTTTTCAGCTGCGTACAAGGTTATAGCATCACATGGACCGATGGATGCGATGTTGCGAAGAGCAGAATCATGGCGCAAATCTTCTGAAATTATTACATAAATTAAATGATTAATTTTTCCTTCGTGTTTAAAATAAATGATAAATGGACGAAAAGTTGCTTGCTGATTATTTCAGTGATGACTTTGTACTTTATCATGTAATACAAATGTGTATTTTTTTGTAAAATCACATATTACTACAAATTCGCCATCCCGAAAATTTATTTTTGTATTCTTCCAAAACATAGAGTTGTTTTATAAAATCATGAGGTATTAATTTCTCTAATAGGAAACAAATTTATGTGGCTGTTCAACTTTTTTTTCTATCGAGGTTTCTATATCACATCTGTCGGTTTGTGACCCATTGTTCAAATTGTATTTCATTAATGTCTTTTTCCCCAATATCTTCCAATAGCTTTTGTTCGAAAAAAGATGAATCCATGCAGTTTTCACAGCGTCGTAGACAGAAATCTATTGCTTTTCTTTCACATATCAAACTATCTGTAATCGACAAATCAAATTTCTTTAACTTGCGAATAATCAAATTAACATTTTCATGAATAGTACATACACACACCTTATGTGTCCTTGAACTAGTTAACAATTTACAGTTCGTAGGCCTGAGATTTTTTTTCCTTGATTTGTTTTTCGTCGATCTTGTTTTCCGTGCTGAGCACCAATGCTACCGACGCCAGCGAGGCAGCTGCCACACCTGATCCCTACCTATCGACCCATCAACTCATGAACCGGGTATGAACGGCTTTACTTCTCTTCCGAAGGAAGGCGTGACAGAGATGTTATGCCTCAGAACATCTCGGTGGCGCCGACTGGAATTGAACCAAGGCCTGCTGTGGTAAGAAGTAATCACGCTTACCGCTACACCACCGGCACCGCTGATGTGTTGTGTAGAAAAGCCTAAATTTTCAAAGAAAAATACAAAAACGTGTTACGCCCATTGTCTTTAAGCCATGAAAACCATAAAAGACAAATACAATCATAGTTATTCTATAAAAAAAAACTCAATTTTTTTACCAAACCTTTCATTTGATATTTTGATCATTCATTTCGTGGGGGCGACCCCGGCGTAGTGGTTAGCATTCATACCTCTCACGCCAAAGTCACGAGTTCAAATCTCACCCCCGTACAAGTCACGAATGACCCAAAAGCGTTAAAGTGACTATAATAAAAAAAAAAATCATTCATTTCGGTCTAGTGGTTCAAAAGTTATAATTTAACAAAAAAGTCACCTTCGGAAAATAAAATTGATTTTTTGGACCACCCTAATATGAAAATGGTCACCTTAATGAGAAAATAAAAACATACGGGTATAATATTTTTCGATAAGGAACAAAACTTCCAATTTTAACGAAATTCTGAGAACCACTATATCGTCTTGCTTTTATCTAAATTGACTGACACATCACTCATATGTGCACACTACCTATACACGTTTATAAGGAATAGAAGAAATGTTGTTTCTTTAAGTCTATGACTATACACTGACTATTAGTATAATTAATAGGAATCACAACGTAATAAGGTACACACATCATAAGTTGTTTTTATGGAATTCTTAAGTCTATTTGCTTCAGTGTACAGTGCTGTGTGAAAATTTCTGGCACGTTATTGGACTTGTTTGATATATGTGAAGCAGTTAACTTAGGCAATGGTCTGTCCTGTTTTCTATTCAAAATATTGCGTTAGAAGGTGTAATGAAACATGCGGACTTTGACCGCTTTGATAGACGAGACACAATCTTAAATGAAGCCAATCAGCTCATTGGCTTTGCTGATGATGTGGAAATTTTTGCAAAAACGTTTGAGGGTGTGGCAGATCAGTAAATATGCTACATGTACCAGTTATGGCTTTACGTTCCTGTCATGGTATGTTAGAATTATGGTCTATGAAAATTTCATTGACCATAATTGGAACACACCATAATGTGAACGCCTAGCCATGACTGGTACATCTTCCCTACATGAAACTGAAATAAATGCGGGTAAAGTTGGATTATTGGTGAATACATCGAAGAAAAAGTAGGGTAGGAGTGTATAAAACGCCCCTTTGCGTTTCTACGAATCCAGGATCAATATATATGTAAAACTGATGCGCAATCAAAGTATTTAGTATGAACACTCTGCTATGCAAGTTTGACAGCATTCAAATGCCACAAATCAATAATATAAACAAAATCATGAAAAGCTTCCTTCCTATGTAATTTTTTACATCATTTTTGAAAGCATATTTAAAAATATAATTATACCATTTTTTTGCAGTATGAGGCGTCTAGTATTGACACTCTTGGCTCACACTTTTGTTGTGGGACATACTATCATTTCAATATACAGCATACTGTCCTTTTGTTGTGGGGGAATATTATATGACAGATGTGGCATTTTGCCCGGCATAGCAGGAAAATCTATGATTGAGGTGTGATGATTCCTAACTTTTAATTTTAACTGTCACTGGTGAAAACATACATACAACTTATGTCTAACTCCGAAAATAACGTATGTACGCGATTGTTCCGTTAATTCAAGAGAAATCTGTTAACATTTAGCTGCTTTTTCCTTAAGGGAGCGTATTATAGCTGCTTATCCTATCTATTGACTGGGATACTGAGGAAAAGAAAAACTTATTTATTTTTATCCTTATTGTAAACTTTTATGTTTGTGATTCGGAATTTTAATGCAAAATAATATTTTTCATCTCAAAGTCATATAGAGAGATACATGCTCCTTTGAACATAATGTAGTGATTCAGCATTCTTCGGGATTTCCATACCCACAGACACGAATCTGAGGATAGAAGATTTGATTTTCACCACACTGTTCCAAAGTATAGCGCCCCAGGACACAAACTACAAATTGGGTGCAATCAGTTGGGTGAGCCAATAGGTCCACCACAATGCCTCTGCACATATCAGTGAAATTCGGAGGGCCGGCAGTTGTTGGTGGCGCTTCGGATTCTGTTTCTGTTGTTTCCTCTTCTGGGCCTTCGGTAGCAGTAGTTTCACCAGAAGTCGTGGAAGTTGCAGTAGTTGTTGTTTCCTCTTCTTGAGCCTCGGTAGTAGTTTCACCAGAAGTCGTGGAAGCTGTAGTAGTGGTTATGGTTGGCACTCCATCCCAGCACAAAACATTTGGACGGCGGTCGCATTCCATTCGGCGAACGTCAAAGAAAGTTCCCATCGGTTGACAACGCACCTGGTGCTCGGAACCTCCTTGACAGATCACGTAGAATTGGCATTCGACAGACGGCAAAATGGTCCCATCAGCCTCATCAACACAGCGGTTTGTTGATTTTGGAGCAGCACTAGCCAATGCCAGAAAAGCAAAAACCACAATACTGGTGATAGTTTTCATAATTGTGTATTCACTTAACGAAAGACTTGAATTGAATAACGATGGCATGTAGTGGATCACATTCTTAAATATCGAACCAGGAACAACAGGAATGGATTTTAACTATCATATCTGTGGATTTTTGTTTTAGATAAGCTTTTTTGATATCAATTGCAGAAATTATACCAATGAAGATGAAGATTCCAACATTTATCAGCTCTTTTAATTTGACCACAACAAATCATGCATAAATAAGATAAGATAATGATAATACATCATAGCAACGTGCACACTTAGAAATAACTACTTTTACACGCGACGTAATCCATATTGGACGTAAATCGTAGAACGTAAACAAACATTTCATGTAAAATTAAGTGTTCTCAAACCGAAACATCAGCTAGTCGACGAAGAGAACGTTTGGTTGAATTGATTTTCACGTTTCTTTCAACTGATTCTTATGTCAAAAGGCCCGCTTACATGTGTCGGTCTCAGGGAACCGAAAATTACATGACTTTTTAGTAGTGTGTGCTTAACAGTGACGTGCGCAATGGGAGAGGGGTAGCCGAGGCCATGTTCCTCCCAAATGATATTAATCTCATACCCCATGCGCCCTCTTGATGTTTTTCATCCACACTACATAGCAGGGGAACAACACTCATTTGGATGTATTTTTTCAGTCTAGTAATTACTTGAGATTTTCGGGGGAAAACATAATTGATGGGATTTTTTGACTGTGTTGTGTTGACGAAAATAGAGCAGGAATAGAAAAATAGTTGTGAATAGATCAGGGAACCCGCATAAGCGCGAACCATAAATTGACCTTACCGATAATGGTTATAAATTGTTTATAATCCCTGCTAAACTTCAACTGAAATGGTTATGGAACTTTACATGAACGTTTAATGATAAAGTTTTAACCTTAAGTATTATAGTTTTTTGGAAGTGGACCTTACAAATAATGGGTTGTTAAGAACCATTACCATTCAAAATTCTTGTTTTCTCCATACATTTTCGGAAAGAAAACTATACTAAAACCTTTTAACTTATGGTTTGAGAACATTAATGGTAATGGTTATGGTAACCAGTAAGGTCCATGAATGGTTTTGTAACATCGATCAACTTTATGTGGAATATATCGCGAATTGGTTGCCTGTAAATTACTGATTACCAATTCACGATATATTTCACGTAAAGTTGAGTGATAATACAAAACCATTAATGGACCTTACTGACTACCATAACCATAACCATTAATGTTCTCAAACCATAAGTAAAAACGTTCTAATATAGTTCTCTTTCCAAAAATGTATGGAGAAAACAAGAATTTGGAATGGTAATGGTTCTTAACAACCCATTACCATTGGTCCGCTTCCAAAAAACCATAACACATAAGGTTAAAACTTTATCACACAAACGTTCATGTAAAGTTCAATAACCATTTCAGTTGAAGTTTAGCAGGGATTATAAACAATGTATAACCATTATCGGTAAGGTCATGTGATGGTTCGCGTTTATGCGGGAATGGATGCGATGTGAGGGATGTTAAAAAGTTTCAGAGGGATACGAACGTAATGAGGATAGGTGTAAAAAGAAGAAAAATCTGCTGCAAGGCAGCGTCCATAAATAACGTAACACTTATAAGGGGAGAGGGGGTCACTTATATAGTTACGAATTATTACAAAGGGAGAATGAGTAAAGCTCTGCGTTACGTTTCTTAGAGCACATTTTGTTTTTTTGTTTCTTAATGTAGAGTTTGAAAATACAGGTAAAAAATTTCATCACTAAATCTTGCTTGCTATTTTGCTATTTTATGTCTTGAGATTTTTGCCATCCTTAAACTTAGATTTTTTGCCGAGATGAACACCACCTAGCAGCTCGGCATTTTATTTAGCTGGATATCAGTGAAAAACGGAACATTCATAGGGAGCTCATTTTCAGTGTTGTTTAGCGTAACGTAATTAATGGACACTACCCAACAATATTAACCAAAGCTCACAGCTCAAGTGCAATAACGGTTCCGTACCGAATAGGTTGAAACTGCACTGTAAGAGGAACGGGTTGTGGCGATGGATCACTAGGATCCGGTTAATATTTCCAACTGTATTTGAAGGGGAATCCGATTCGCAATATTCTCGCACAGAAACAGCTCTTTCTTCTCCGAACCCTTGACCAGCAGCAGCGACGAGTACAACTTGGACCGAGTGGAACAAATGACCTGAATTCCTTTTCCACCTGCTTGTCGTAGGGGGTTTGATTGGTGAGGATTTTCCCGGGGCTATAATTAGGACTTCGAACGAAATCAACAGTTGCTTCCTGCCTGTTCGGCCACTTCCATGCTAAAACATATAGACACCTGGACTCTTATCCGTCGTGTTCAATCAGTTTGAGTCCAGGAAATGGATGTGCGTTGCCGTCTTCTCTGTGATGCACTTGATGTTTTTGCCCCTGCGACCGATTATAGACGCGTGGTCCGTCATGGCTAGCTGACATACACACTTAGAAAAATTCATGTAAATTTAGGTGCCCTGAAACTGACATATACGAGCGTCAATTTTGACATAAAATTAAGTCATAATAGACATGCGATTCAGCTCAATCAAACATACTTTGCGTCGAGTACCGAACTTTTCAGTCTCGGAGCACTTAATTTTACATGACATGTATGTTTACGTCTCATCCTTTATGTCAAAGATGGATTCCGTCACGTGTAAAATTAGGTATTTCTAAGTGTGTACGTTGTGTTTGTTGTAGAGATTGTTGAAAACTAACAGTGAGTATGTCAGAAAGCTTCGCGGTCGACCTGAAAACTTCGAGAAACTGCACGGCTTGCTTGACAATTTGTGTGCATGCAGAAGGGATAAGTTGGGAATAGAAAGAATATATACACTGAGGAAACTGTCCCTTCAATTTTCATAAGCTGCATCGTATGAACACATAACAATACGAGCTCCATCCAATTTCATAAGTATCTTATGAATTCATACTCCATCTATAGCATATATAGTTTTATACAATAAACGGTGCACGAAACAAAATGAATTTCATAAACCCATCGTATGAATTGCTTTTACGCAAAATATGTCAAAAATTCATAAGACGATCGTATGAAAAGTACTACGTCAGTATAAATTACAACATAAACAACAAAGATGACAGATCCAGTTATGTGACGTAGCACAAGACTTCGTGAATATGTAAGTAGTAATTTATTATAGAATCAAAGCAGTAATTTATGTTTTAAAATCTTTAGTTAGTTAATGATGCTTCTGGTTCTACATTGTACATAACTGCACCGTTGCACCAGCTGACCGAGAAGACCCATTGCATGAAAATCGAACGCCAACGGAACGAGTTTTTCGATTCCATCGAACTTTGTTCAGTATTCTCAGCTGCTTCGTCTGATGTACACCAAAAGATCAAAGCACCATGATCAAAATTTAAACCAGAAAACGTTTTTAAAGAAATTGTAAGTAAATGTTACAATCTATATATATAAAAATGAATTTCTGTCAGTCTGTCTGTCTGTCTGACCCTTATAGACACGGAAACTACTGAACCGACCGGTGTGAAAATTTGTATGCAAGGGTTTTTGGGGCAGGGAAAGGTTCTTATGATGGTTCGAGACCACTCCCCCCTCTGTAATGGGGGGCTCCTATACAAATGAAACCGAAATGTCTGCATAACTCGAGAACTAATCAAGCAAATCGAACCAAATTGGGCATGTGGAGGTCTTAGGGGGTAGCCCGTTAGATAATAGAGAGGAGGGGGGCTACGTACAATATAGTATGCTTTTTGTTTTTAATTGGCGCATAAACTCAATCTAATATTAAATCCCAGGCAAGGCCGGGCACACTCAGCTAGTTTACTTATAAAATACTGATTCAAATACGAGTCAATATAAACTAAGAAAATAAAAAAAATCTCGTTTATTTCCCACAAAACTAAATGACGTACAAATGTAAACGAAGTGTTCCATGATATCCATAATTAATTTGGATTCAAATTCATAGTTGTATACGAGAAAATCATACGATAGCAGTATGAATCAATTTGACAGTTCTTCATATTCCGATCGTATGGAATTCAACCTAAAATCTTGTCGCAAAAAATCATACGATATTACTATGGAATTTGATGGAATAACAATCTCAGTGTAGGATGGATTGAAATTTTGTGCACGTTGAAAATTGTATGAGAGGTTTGAGTAAAAATGGGATAATCCTGAAGTGTCGATCCCCCTGCCACATACCACTAAAAAAAAATCATGTAAATTTAGGTGCTCTGAGACTGACATATACGAGCGTCAATTTTGACATAAATTTGAGTCATAACAGACGTGAAATATAGCTTAATCAAACGTACTTTTCATCGAGCAATGATCTTTTCAGCCTCGGAGCACTTAAAATTACAAGACACGTTTGTTTACGTTTCATATGTTATGTCATAGATGGATTCCGTCACGTATAAAATTAGTTTTTTCTAAGTATGTAGTTAAAAGCTATCCATAAAAATATTAAATTAAGTTGATATCCCAAACTCCCTGTTATTGCAATTCAATCTTTGAAAATTCAAGAGATCAATAGTGAAAAGTCACTTGCTGCTTGAAGTAGTAGTAGTAGTAGTAGTAGCAATCATTTAAAAATTCACCAAGTTTTATTTGAAACGTCCTGTTGTTATATCAAACGTCCTGCCACAGACAAACAGACATAGCACTCGCAAGTTGTTCATCGAACAAGCATTTAACGGTCAATTTAAAAGTATCGTAGTTGGTACTACCGCCACCTGTGGCGCGCATAGTCAATTCCCTTGCGTTTGAC